TTCACAAATCCCTTGGACAAGGCAAATGGCAATCTACAGTAAATGCCAAGTAACTAATGACTTTTAATCTGTAATTTAAAGTATTTTTTATGGGGCATGAAGCTTGGGAGACTAAACCCCCCAGAAATAGTGGAGGAAAGCACTTAGCATAAGGAAAGGTGTGCGAAGCTGTAAGGTCATGTACTCTGTGCCCGGCTGCCGCTTTCTACAGATCCTGTTAATGAGATTGTAAAGATCTCGCAGCTGATTCTGGATCACTTCCCCCCCCCCCCCCCCCAAAAAAAAAAAAAAAAAAAAAAAGAGCCATGATGAAAGAACCGGGGTGGTTGGATAACGTGCATGTGGGTTCATGTGTGCCCAGGTACAGGACGGGGCAGAGGGCGTTAGAAGCAGTGGACAGAGTGTGCAAGCGGTATCTGTGTGGGGAGCTGAGGAAGCCCCAGAAAAGCTGCTAAGTCGCCTGCTGTTCCCGACTGCGGCTTTGCCAGCCGGCTGAACAGATTGCTGGTGCATAAGAGCAGCATGCAGCAAGAGGGAAAGGGAGCGAAAAGGCACAGTGGGGTGGATGCCGTGGAGTTGGGCGTGAGAGCTCACCGATTTATTTACTTATTTATACACTAAATGTTAAGCTTCTAATCAGTGCTATATAAAACAGGAAAAAAAAATTGAATTCCTGCCTAACCAGCTCATTATCCACATAGCTGGACAGCACGATAACAAGTGATTGTCAGGAATGTTTTCCATAACCTCTCCCTGCCTCAGTCTCTGCACTTTCTGCAGGGACAGAATTAACACGTGGTAAAAAAAGTGAGAGCTTTGCACACTGATCTCAATGCTGTCAAAATTCAACCTTTTGGAGAATCACTCATGTGGACCGGTCCTGCAACCCATAATACTGAGATGAGAACAACAAGAATAAGGGAAAAGTGTAGGCAAGCCATTTCAGGACAGAATAGTTTTGGAAGCCTTTCATTCCCCCCCGTCCCCATCCCTACCCCTATCCCTACCCCCCAAAAAGGGACAAATGCTGGAACATAAAGGGTTAGAAGCAAGTTGTGCTCAGATAAACAAATCTATGGGAGATAAAGCAGTTGCCATGCCAGCTGATACCAAAAGCAGCCAGCACAAATTTGGCACGAAGGAGACGATCTAAAAGGCTGCACTGAGCTCCAAAGCTCGTCGTACACAGGCTGTTTCTTGGCTTTAGCTTTGCCAGTCCTCTTCACTTGAAATCAGAAGCAACAATTGCTTGCATCAAATTTCTAATCCATTGGGGGACAGTGAGGAGGTACCTATGCTTACTGGGGCTCAGCAAATGAAAACCAAGGAAGAAAGGCTGATAAATATGCAGGAAAAGTGCATGAAAGGTCTGGGTCTCTGCCACTAACTCCATGGGAAGCCATTGGCAAGTCCTTTGACTTTTTTTTTCTTCTGTTTCGCCTCCTCATGTAGAAAAAAAAAACTAACCAATATTTTCTGTGTTTGGTTTCTCTGTTTGGCCTTTTGAACTGACAAAATGTTCAGCATTCTGATGGATCTTCTCTAGGGTCTCTAAGTAGTACTGCAAATAACATCTAATTAATAATGACACTTAAAACACTGATGGAAGATTTGCTTCCCAAAGAGTGACACTTACCTATTCAGTCTGGTTAAATAGTGAATAACACTATCTGTCAACATACTGGATAAACCATCCTTTGTCAAGGATAACATTAGCTTCCTCAAGAGTTTATTGACTAATGTGAGCAATTATTGATTTAAAAAATTATATTCTAAGACACTGTTTAATACCTGCTGCTGGGTCCATCTTTCTGCAGTTTGGGCTGTGCTGTTCTTTAACTACATGTAAGGGGCGCAGGTGTCAATGTAATTCATGACTGTAATCCTTGAATTAAAATCCTGAAAAATGGGTTTCCAGTCAAAACGCAGATGCAAAGCATATTTTATTTATTCTTCATTTCTGGGAGAGTAATGTATTTCATCTAGCCTATTGCATAATCTTCTTGATGGGCTTTCTCTGCTTCATCAGTGAAGTCTGATGCACCAATTTCTCATTGTTTATGTCCTAAGAACAAGAGGACTCATGGGAAAGCCCATGCAGTGAGGTGCTCTACAATTTTGCCCATTACATCACTGACACCAGAGTAAATTTGCTGAGATCTCTCCAGTCAGAAAGGGCACTCAGATGAAAAAAAAAAAAAAAAACAAAACAAACACAAAAATACAGTTTCAGGGTAATAGTCTGAAAAATGAGAGGGACTCCCCTATGTCTGGACTTCCTACAACCCCAGCTCAAATGCAAGCTCAGGCCTTGTCCCTGTATATTGTAGACATGTTAAATGTTAAGCACAGAAATAATCCAAATGTACTCCATCGCACTCTCATACATGTGAGCAAACATAGCCGTTGGCACAGTTTTCTGTCATGTAAACATCCATATTCTGGTGCAGGGTACATCAACATATGGTTTCAGAGAGGACAGCAGCAGCACGCAGGAATTTAAAGCCAGATGGTGGCTGTATGTTCCCTCTCTCTCTACTTACATGCATACACACACACACATATATATATATATAATTGTACATGTGTGTATCCCCAACACTCATTGGATGAACTTTGACTTTTAGTTGCAATTCAGGGCATAATGTTCAGTGTCAATCTAATCAACGTTCCAGTAGTTTAACTTATTAGTGAAAATTAGGTTGATGGATCAAGCCTAAAAGCCTGTATAGTAAAAGGTTATACTGGAACTTTCTTCAGTACATTAGCAAGGACTCAGATGTAGAAAAGTATGTTAAAAAAATGCAAGTTTGCTCCTACAGCAATCAGAAAATTAACATTGTCAAAAATGTGAATCCCTTCATATTGTCCAAACACAGTTAAAATGTAAAAACTATTTGGGTATATAAAAAAACCTATTAATATAAAAAGCCTCTTCATTTTACAAACTTACATTAATATAATGTTTTGACTGTTATTACTGATGTAATGAAATTCAAAATGAATTAAAATCTAGTATTTTAACATCAGTCTAACAAACTACCACCCATATTTAGAGTGAAATAATGGTAATTTTTTTTTTCCTTTTTAGATTATAAGAATGAGATAGCTAAATTTAAAACATTTGAGTTAAAAAAAAAATTTTTTTCTGATCAACCACCCATATTTAGAGTGAAATAATGGTAATTTATTTTTTTTCCTTTTTAGATTATAAGAACGAGATCGCTAAATTTAAAACATTTGAGTTAAAAAAAAATATTTTTCTGATCGATCAGTGTAATGTGCCAGGATGCCAGGGACATCAAGCTTCAATCTACTTAATATTGACCTGGTCTTCCTCCAACAAGAACTCTGGAAAGTTTGTAACATCACATTTCAGGATTTAAGCCACACTGTACAACTGATAAACTAAACCTTGGGCTTTATGAGTTAAAAAGTTTTTTGGAATTTTTTTTAAACTTCTTCTTACCCTGCTTCTGTGGGTCAGGCTATTGAGTGAGGTGACCTCATGTAAGGAACCAGTTCCATTACGAGCTGCTGATTTGAGTGGCAGCAGGCTATGAGAGACACTATGAAAGACAGCGATCAGGGAACAGTGCCTTGCTCTTTGATCCTCTGCCTAATAAGCCCACAGGTAGAAGTTCCCACAGGATATCCTAAAGTTGGTATTCTGAATTCAGATTTTAGCACCAGAAGCATCTATATCTGAGCTACATCGTTGTTAATAAACCTGGGTTTTGGTAGGCTTGGGAGGCAAAGAGGTCTGTCCAAAATATTCTGCAGCAGCGGCCCTGTTATTCTGCCAAGAAGCTGGAGCACAGCCACAGCGCTTCTGCAGCATCTGGTAATTTAGTCTGATGCAGCAGGTTGAGTGATCTTCACTGGAAAATGTTTGCTCAGAGCAGTGGTGACTTCTCTTCAGAATTAGTACACCTACCCAGTATTTGCAAACATCCAAGAATTCTCATATTTGAAACCTTGAAAGCTGCTGGAGTTGGGCAGAGAAGGCAGGAGACTAAGGGCATTCTCATCATGGCTTTCAGGATAACCCTACAGAGTAACTGGTGGGTTGAATGTGTAGGTTTGATGTTGAATACATCTGTTCAAAGACGCAGTACAGCCTACATGATGCTTCAGCTTAGTTTGCTAGACTCCCACCATCATTTTCACACTAAATCCTCTGTTTTCTCTCTTAGAAGATCAAAGCGCACATCTGATCTATTTTAGAGGAATGAGAGAAGTCAAGGAATTTAAGATTTTTACCTGATAAGGATTCTGAAAAAGTATAAAATATCAAATGCATTTTACGCAGTGCTGAAAATCCTGTCTTTATTACGTTGTTTCTTTAGACGCTGTCTTTGTTCTTTCCCATAGGATCAAAATCAATCTTCATTTGGATTTCGCTTTTAATAAAAACTGTCTCATACAAATTGCTCAATGGCTTTTCCAATCCCTAGTTAAGATTTGACCATATGTTCAGCGTGAAAGAACAACAACGTGAAGCCCTGTGGTTACTCCAGGGGATATAGAACCAAGCTAATCTAAACATTTAACCTGCCATAACTGTCAATGAAACACTGGAAACATTTTTTCACAGGTCGGTGGGCAACAGCAGCTTTGTCAGGCTCCTCCGCGTCCTCTGCATGATGCAGCAGCACCACTCGGTGGCTTAAGGCAGCTCCTCTTTATGCATCTCCCAACACCCAGGGGGGAAAGGGAAAAAAAAATAATTACTCACTAAAAAGCTTCCTCATCTCTTTTTCCTATCCTTCCTAGAGTTTGATGAAACTCCACGATAACCAGAGATTTAACAATACAATGTAATCAACCATCTTCTGAAACACACTTTCCACCCATAAATATGCAGTGCTGATCTTGAAAAAAAGATTTAAGCAAAATTTTATTGCTGTTCTTCTCTGGGCACTGCTACATCCACTCCTCTTATGGGAAGCAAGGTATTATCAAGATCAAATTAATTATTTTTATTCTTCTAATTTCAGGTTGGGAAGTAGATAACTTGGGGCAAACCCATGCAGGTAAGGACCAGTTGTGTTCACTACCTCCTATGTAGCTCTCTTCTTGAAAACTGTACGTAGAGCACATGGTAATATCAGATTATTGAAAATTTGTTTGTGTACCAACCACTGTGATAAGGAATACATGTAGTTCATCGTAACGCTGCGTTAAAAAGTGAAAGTACAAATCTGATAAGTTTCTAGATACCAATGTGATCTAACGTGAAACCACAAAATTAAACTGTCTTGCTTAAAACCAATTAATTATTGCTTTTTGTCATTGATGGATGCAAATAAGTTTTCATGAAATCTGTGAAAACTGGCCATACATAAAGATCTATGGATCATAAATGTAAATGTCTAAAGAGATAATAACTTACTTTTATATTTTACAATAAAATTTGTCCTAATTTGATTGTATGTGTTTTTAGCAATGTGCTTGCTGCTTGCAGTAGCGATTTTTTAATTTTATAGGTTCAGCTTTGATTTTAATTCATGAGTAAAACTGTGTTTACTTCCTTAAAAGACAGAATCAAGTATTTATTGCCTTTGGGTCTGATCCAAACAAATAGAAATCAATTGGATTCTATGCACTGATTTCTACAGAGACCAGTTTGGTCCTAAGAGTAAACACAATCGAAACAATTTCATACCAAATTTTCACTTTTATAGGTGATTATGACCTGCTGGAAAGCACAGCCCAGTCTCCCCTAGGTAAGAAACAGAACCATGAAATGTTTCTCTTTTTATTTTAGCTCTGTTAAAAAGGAAGCTCCAAGCTTTTTCTCCTGTCGTTTAGGTACTATTTTCTAATCAGTTTTAATTACAGTGACACATTTTCTGGTGCATTACTTTTAGCAGTATTGCGAAAATGTATTCCTCCACTATTAGGCCTTGCAAACTGGAAAGTGTGTTGTTATAAATTATATCTACCTGCTTAACAATAATTACTAAATGAGGTTAAGGAAAGTCAACACCATGGTTCAGTGGTTATTTTCCATAGAAAACTGGGGATGAATGTGCAAGAGTAATTTACCAAAATTTGCCAAGTACTGAAATGTTCTTAAATGAATGCTGTGATTAAATACAGATTGCAAATGCAATGGATGGCAAACAGATTCTCTAAAAATAAGGTCACTGCCGATGTTACAAGCTTCTTAAATAAACTGCTCTGAGAATGCGAAACAGCACAACCTTAATAAAAACAAAAAAAGAAACCAAAACCAACTTGGAAATTTCTGTCAATTTTGGTCAAGGTACAGCTCAAACACCAAAAACTGTAACAGTTCAATAAATGGAAGCTGTTCAGTTGTGCTGGAGAGGAGTAAGTGCAGCCAGCAGCCCAGATCTAATATTTCAATGAGGTCCCTGAGCTCTGGCAAGAGTAATGGTGCTTAAAGAGAGCACTACAGGGGCCATCCCACCTTAGGCAGCCTCGGTAACAAAGTGAGTGTCAAAAGACACATTTCTCTTCTACCCCCAATAAAGTTTTAAGCCTTTTGGTTGTGTCAGTGAAAGGCATTTAGGAGCTAGTCCTCATATATGAGATTAACCAAAGAATCATAGAATCATAGAATGTTTTGGGTTGGAAGGGACCCCTAGAGGTCATCTAGTCCAACCCCCCTGCAGTGAGCAGGGACACCACTAACTAGATCAGGCTGCTCAGAGCCCCGTCCAACCTGGCCTTGAATGTTTCCAGGGATGGGGCCTCCACCCCCTCTCTGGGCAACCTGTTCCAGTGTTTCACCACCCTCATTGTAAAGAATTTCTTCCTTATAAATTAATTAAAGAATTAGGGTAAAAAGAGAGAAAAAGAGAAAGAGGTTTTCTCTAAGCCAGTTTTGAGCCTCCTTGAGAACACTTGCTTTGAAGTAAGGTTATAAACTGCGTTTGGAACAATTAATGAGAGGAATGTGAGAAGCTCTGAAACAGGTTTGAAATTGTCAGCTGAAACCACACTGGGCACCTGGAGGTGTAAATGAACATCTTGCTATGAAGACAGAGACAGGGACGAGATTCCTACTCCAGCTTTCCTTTGTTTTCCTACAGACCCTTCTCACAAAGTCACTCTCAGATCAGAGCCTAGGAAATCTAGAGCCTGGAAGGTGAAAGAGTGGGATACATGTTATCCAACTGTAGGAGAACAATCAAGCTGCCTGACCATAGACATATAATGGCTATTTTACATATCCTAGGAGTATCCTGCCTGGCTTCCAGCAACTGCTCCAAAAAATCATGTTGGCCTTGTGTTTTCTTGCCAGTCCCATGAAGATGTCTCAGATATAGATCACCTTAAATAGCACAAACTGCCTACCTATATTTAAGCACTGGGTTTAACCTTTACCTATGTGAAGTGTAGATGTCTACATCAAAGCTGTATTCTCTAGATGCCTTTCAGAGTCAATGGAGAGAAACAGATATTTAGCTGACCCCTGGTTTAGGTGCCCACTTGGGAATGAGATCTTTGATGGCCTGGAGGCACTGACAATACTGATTCAATCTTTTTTGCTCTCTGGTGACCAGCTATAGTAGTAGACATTCATAGGCGCCTGTTCTGGAATTGGGTCATTAAAGATGTCATTAAAATTTCAAGATGCCATTAAAGTCTTATATGGACAGCCAGATAAATATTACCCCCAGGGGTACTGTGGGGTTTTCTTTGATCATGTACCAGGGGGAAGGAGGGTATGTCCTGGGGTTTGCTTCAGCAATGTCACATTCCCAACTATACTTGGCATAGGGGACATCAGCAGAAATTGCACTGAAGATGGCTGGTCTGAACCTTTTCCTCATTATTATGATGCCTGCGGCTTTGATGAAAATGAAACAGAGTCCGATAACCAGGTGGGAATTAATCCTATAATTAAAAACAACTCAAGGCGGGGGGAGCAGCAGACTGCTTTTCTGTCCAGCCTCTGGTCGTGTTCTGATTTGATGGTGTTTAGAATGAAACAATCAGATATTTATGGGCATGAAAATGTGAGATGCAAGATTTAAATCCTTCCTAGCCCTGTACTGAATATTTCCAGAATATGAGTGTTTACTGTTGATGCAGCTTGTAACTTCTAGAAGCATGGGTTAGTCCCCAGTTCTTCCCCTATTAACTAAAGAATCCTTTATCCAACTACTTTTTTTTTTTCTACAGATACATGCACAGTGGTCAAAGAGCTGTAGATAGCCTTTGCTAGCTCACTGACAAATAAGCTTCACAGTATGCAGCCCAAGGGTACAGCAGACATAGAGCAATGCTCTAATATACAGTGAGATCTCAGGGAACCAAAAGGAGGCTGTTCAAGAAACAAATCCTGCCTATATAATCATAAAATATTTTGGGTTGGAAGGGACCTTTAGAGGTCACCTAGTCCAACCCCCCTGCAGTGAGCAGGGACATCTTTAACCAGATCAGGCTGCTCACAGCCCCGTCCAACCTGGCCTTAAACATTTCCAGGGATGGGACCTCCACTACCTCTCTGGGCAACCCACTCCAGTGTTTCACAACCCTCATTCATTCCCCCTGCACATTTGCAGGGTAAAGAAGATGTGACCACAGATGAACCGTTTAACTGTGTGTTGTTTGCCTCCCAAGGATTACTACTATCTATCTGTGAAGGCTCTGTACACGGTGGGATACAGCACTTCTCTTGTTTCCCTTACCACCGCCATGGTTATCCTGTGTCGTTTCAGGTGAGTCAGGATGTGAGCAGTGAGCTGTTCAGTCACTGGAGGAAAGAGGTTGGAGCTCATCAGCCCAAAGCAATGTTTAAGCTTTTATCTCACCAGATGTGGAATAAAAGGGAGACAACCCTTTAATAGAGTTGTTCCCCAGCTTGGACGCACCCCAGTAGTCACATTTTGGTAGACTGTAGATGCAAGAGCAAAAGCTCTGGGTCTATTTTATGCAACTGCAGTAGCTGCATCGGACTGGGTCTATTTTATGCTACCCTGCATGCTACCCAAATCCTCCTCTTGGTCAGGTTACAGTCAGTATTATCTACACTCTTGACTTTCCAGTGTTGCTATTCTTGTCACCAAGGTGCTAGGAACTCTGGCCACGTGCACAGATAGACCTAGAGTGCTGTTTCCATGAAAGAAAAGTTTGGGGTTTTTTCTTTTTCTTCTTCTTCTTTTCCTCAACCTTGCTCTTTCTTGTCTAGGAAGCTTCACTGCACTCGAAATTTTATCCACATGAACCTCTTTGTTTCATTCATCCTGCGTGCAATATCTGTATTCATTAAAGATGGGGTTCTTTATGCTGAACAGGATGGCAACCACTGTTCTATCTCAACGGTAAGTAAAACCAAAGCCAAAGCCTTTTCCTTTTTTTTCCTCAGCATGTGATAAAAAATAGTGAGGCAAGCACCAGTCTGTTGTATATCATAGGCTGAAAAGCTATTGGGAGAGAACGTAATTGGTGGTTAGCTTCCCTCCAGGTTCATGACAAAGCTGTGGATAGTATTGTCTCATGATGTCATCAGTGTCCAGCAGTCTGTGCTTTAAGACAAACCTACAAGTTCTGGTTTCTGACTCTGCTCGGGTTGTTTCTGCCTTTCACAGATCTGCATAGTGACAGATGGGATGAGAGCAGACACAAGCAATTTCCTTCATCTTAAGGTCTGGTTTTTCTCCAGAGCCTTATTTGTTCTGGATGTCAGACAGAGCCATGCATAGAGAGGGTGACCATTCAGACATAGAGAATACCTCTGACAGTCACACTTTCAAAAAATTATTGGTATTAGCCATGTGTTTGTCTCTGAAGTGTGTGGTTTCATGGAAAGCAGTCTCTTTCACAGATGCTATATATTACACATAAATCCCAATTTCTTTCCCATTTAAGTCTAGTATTTGATTTGATAAATCAGCTCACCAGGTGTAATTATGATGGAATTACAGTGAGTTCCCGAACTGAGATCTCCTTTATCCATCCAGTTATGAGCTACACTTGCTATGAGTCACTTCCACAGGGAAAGTGCAGCTGTGTATCTTCTTACTCAGCCTTTTCTTTGTCATTGAAACTAGTTTTTGCTTTTAATTCTTCTCCGTGATAAAGCTGAAGCCATGGTAGAGCTGTAGTTTGTTCACACCACTCTTCTAATAGTGGCATCTGCCTCTTTGTTTTGAAACACTTGAAGCATAAAACATGTTAAAATCAGCCATCTAATGACCAGAGATCTTCAGCCTTGGTAGAGCTTCCATGAAGAAACTATAAACACATTGATCGTAGATTTGTCCCAGAGGATGGATTGCAAGTGGGAACCAGTTAAAATTGTCAGTCTCCCGCTGTCCCAGACAGGAACTTCCAATTTATACACTGATTCTGCTCTGGTTTGTTGAAAAGTCCTACTTTTGTAGGACTAATGATGTCTTACTGGGATGCAACTCTGGAAAGACAAGTGTGTCCTACTCTCACAGAGTCAGGGCAGAGCTTGGTTTCCACCTAAGGCTTTTATCATAGAATTGTAGAATCATTTAGGTTGGAAAAAAACCCTTTAAGATCATCAAGTCCAACCATTAACCTAATGCTGCCATCCCACCACTAAACCATGTCCCTAAGCACCCCATCTACATGTATTTTAAGTATCTCCAGGGGTACAGGTTCTCAAGCACTTCCCTGGGCAGCCTGTTCCAACACTTCACAACCCTTACAGTGAAGAAATTTTTCCTAATATTCAATCTAAACCTCGACTGGCGCAACTTGAGGCCATTTCCTCTCATCCTATCACTTGTTACTTGGAAAAGAGACTGACCCCCACCTCGTTACAGCCTCCTTTCAGGTAGTTGTAGAGACCGATAAGGTCTTCCCTCAGCCTCTTTTTCTCCAGACTAAACAACCCCAGTTCCTTCTTTTATTTTTTTTTTTCTTTTTTCTGCTGCTTTTCACCCCAGTAAATGAATGACAGCGTCTATCATTTTTTACAGTAAATCCCTCTGCTTTCTTTACACTTATGCTTACTTTCTTTTTCTGTCCCTGAGTGGCAACACCCACAAATGGCAAGGAAGTGCAATTCTCAACTGCACACAGGAGGGTGCATCATTTCTGATCTCACTCTCAGGGCTTTCCACAATCATCCTGCCATTTCACATCCTTCCTTAGGTTTCTCAATACGCAACTGGATTCTTTTCTTCTCTGCACTTAATCCTTGGAAGGGGACTTAAATCTAGCAATTAGAGTCTATTGACGATGTGAACTTCCACTAATGCAAGACGTTTTCAAGCTGTCTGCAGATGCTCTTCGACCACCTCCCACTGGTAAAATTGGCTACCTGCCCTTTCAAGCTTCGCTCTCTAAGTGGCACCTCACATTCTTTTCATGCTTTTAAAACTTTACTATTAAAAATGTGTAATTCCAGTCCCAGCTGTGTTCCTTTCCACTAAGAGATTTGGAGAGGTTGAAAGCACTTTGTCTATCTGTTAGGTGGAAACAACATGGAAATAACTTTGTTTTCCTTGATTCTCTGCAGGTGGAATGCAAAGCAGTGATGGTGTTTTTTCACTACTGTGTCATGTCCAACTACTTCTGGCTTTTCATTGAGGGATTGTACCTTTTCACTTTATTGGTAGAAACCTTTTTCCCAGAGAGAAGATATTTCTACTGGTACACTATTATCGGCTGGGGTACGTGACATTTCTTGTCTAAAATGTGTCTCAAATCACAAGATGACTCCATGAACGATCTAATATTTTCACATACAGGTTAAAAGTATAGGTTTACCCTGTGCATAGAAGGACCACTGCAGACTGAACTGTGCCGTCCTTTTTTGCCTGAATAGAGTTGAACTAAAATCTGGAGGACACCGCATCTCTTGCAGAGATGTAGTCCACAACTGAAAGTTGCCTTCTACAAGATATGATCTTAATGCCAATTCCTTCAGGTTAATCAAATCTGCAATGCTAAGTCCAGTCCATTTTTTCTTCCAGATAATAGCTAAATTGAAAATGTATCCAAAGGGTATCCACATATGCTCATCCTACCTGGATGGGAAATGGAAACTTGCAATGGGAAGAAACCAGATTTGTTTCAGAAAGGCCAGTTATATGACGATAACCAGTGTCATTATTTTTCATTCTGGCCTCCTAGAGATAAGTTGATTCCTGCAGCCTGTTAATACAAACAGTTCTTTGCTGATGTTTTTGTGCAGAAGTCAGATGGTGAATGCAGAGGAATACATTCATTTTAAATGTACCCTAAGAAGGTTAAACTCAATTTTTATTTCTAAACAATGTAATTCTGAAATGATCTGGAAATAATCCTGTATATTTTTGTGTAAAGTCTGCATACAAACCACCTGCTTTAAACTATTCTCCTCTGAAAAAAACATTCTCATGTGACCTGAACCTTCAAATAATCCACAGCTGGTCTTGTTTTTTCCCTCCTGAGGCAGCTGTATATACACAAAAATTCCCATATCCTGCCAAAGACTCCCTACTAGGAGCAAAAGTATAGAGAAGAAAGAACAAGTGATCAGAAATAACCCATGGCTTATAAAGGCTATTGGAAAAGGATGACTATTGGGAAAGAAACTATCAGAAAAGGATGTTCAAAGTTTCCCTTGTACCACCCACAGATGTATAATCACATTATAGCTGAGGTATAAGGCTGTTTTCAAAGAGAACTTGGGAGTTATATACATGAAAATGTGACAATTGTAGAAGAAAACAATGTGCAAATCTTTGCAATCTGAACACAAATCAGGGGTTGTGTTCCTTTAATTAAGTTTGCACAAATTTCATATCTATAGTTTTGTCTGAATGTGAGAATATTGCCACACAGAATATTAACTGATTTGGGGTTTTTTAAGTCACTCTCTGTAATGAAAGGACTACCCAGATGGATTCATTCTGTAATGCAACCTCAAAATACTTGATCTTGAGTTGAATAAACAACATCTAGCTGTTCAGTTTATAGATATCACTTCATATTCAAAGCAATATCAATAATATCCATTAATAACACTAAGAGAATCTCCAAATGTGGATGGGTTTGGTTTTGTTTTGTTTTTTAAATACAATACCTTCTCAGCTCCTGCATATTTCAACTTGAAGAGCAGTTCCCCTGACCTGGGAGGAGCAACTGGCACTTTGCAAGAACAGAAACACTTCCAGACTCTGGATGCAAGTCATGTAGGGCAAAACCAGCCCCTCAGCTCAGAGATGATGGGGAGAGAGTTGCATTGAAGCAGCAATAAGCAAGAGCTCAGCATTTTGCAGCATCTGGATGTTTATCTGGTTCTTAAAGTGTGCTGAGCACATCAGTGTCCTCATTTGATTAATGAGGACTACATATGGCTGTGTCAATCCAGACAATTTTTTCCTCTTAAATATACAGTACGCTGATAAATTCTCCGGATAGATTGCTGTCTTCCAGAGATCTCTCTTAATGCTTGCTCCTTACTCAGGGCAGAAATGCAGTTGGCAAGAATAGCTGTCTTTGCCACCTCTGAGATTTGTCTGTTTTCTAATGTTACTCAGAAGCTGTAAAGAAGGTGATGAGGATATATATATATATATATCGAAGCCTGCACTTCTGTAACTGTTTACACCCGCTCACTCACATTTCACAGTGGAAATTGCCTCCATTGTGTATATATATATATATATATTTTGAGGTAAAGTAATGTGTGTGTGTGTATATTCATATAGCAGATGGTTCAAAACTCCAAACTGATCTGAAATGTGCTTTTTGAACTATATTTTTATGACACATTTAGTCTAATTCTGCCATCCCTCCCATGTTTCAGCCTTGGAAGCCTATTCATACCATCGAAATTTATATAGTGCAAATCAGCACAAACTAGATAGCACTTCAGACCCATGATTGATATTTAAAGATTATTTTTATTATTGCGCATCTGTTAAGAGCACAAAGATCTCAATGTTTTCTAAGTATTCTCATGTGAGAAAAGCAGACTTCAATTCAAATTAAATATGCATGATTTCTGCTCCCCAAAGCCTGTCATTTTATTTCTTTTTATCATTTTCCTTTCAAATATTTCTATGTGTGCTATTTTAAAGGAGGAGGGCTTCATCAGTCATGTACAGGGATAATTTTATTTCTGATAGCAGGAATATGAGATTTGACAGAGACTCACTTAAGTGGATTCAGTCGAATGACTAATTAACATGACATCAACACAGCCTTGCAAAATGTATGAAACAGAATTGTTCCTGTCAAATTATGACAGTCTTGTTCACCGCTGCAAGCTGGGGTTATCAAGGTCCTTGTTTTGTTTGCTTTTTAGCACTTTATCTTTCCAGTGGTGCCTGAATAAATGTAGGCAGTTTCCTAGTCAAAGATTTTATTTGCCGTAAAATGTAGATCCAACTTACCCAGAGATTTCTTGCAAGACTGCATTATTTTATAAAAATATTTCCACTGAAAACCCCCACTTTTAATGTTTTACGAAAGGAAAATAAATCCAGGTTTCTCAGTGGAGTCTTACAGTTTTAATTTAATTTGTACTTTATATGCATTTTTTAAAGAGTAAAGAAATGTCTGAAAGAGAAATTAAATTCTTGCTCCCAATATTCTCTTTTGGGTGTTTGTGGGTTTGTTGTTTTTTTTTTCATGGAAAAAATTAGGCATTGCTGTGAGTAATAGAATGTTGTCCTCTACTGATTCCTTTTGGTAAGTACTTATGATAAGTAAGGCAAAATCAGTTATTTACACAATAACAAAAAAAATACAATATATAAAAATCATTTACAACAAAAGCACATAAAAATACAAAAAATGCAATAATGCCGTTACCACTCAACATCTGCCACTCTCCAATTATTGCATAATTACAGTAGCTCTAGACAGGGGTGCTGATGTCACTGCTTCAATTTTGTACAGACTATGTTTTAATGTTCATGCCACAAGATGTAGTACAACTTTGAGCAATAATGACCTGAAACATCATTATTCTTTCTCGTTATCAGGTTTCCTTCTGCAATCCCACCAAGACTAACCCATCCTCTTACTGAGACGGATGTTTCTAGAGCTCTGAATTAATGTAATGAATTGCATTTTTTTCATGCATAAGTGCTATTAGGAAATAAAACCTCAGTGGAGAGGTTGCAAAAAGTGCTTATTACCGAGTACTAAATGTGTCTAAACTGCTAACAATGTCACCATCTTATCTTCTGCAGGTACGCCAACAATTTGTGTCACTGTCTGGGCAGTGCTGAGGCTTCACTTTGACGATACCGGGTAGGTATCGCTGTGTGGGAAATAATTTCGCATACATTTAGCATGATGGCAAGGATGAAACAGAAATATAGTGATCAGAGGACACGACTAATTTTTCCCTCCATTTCTGACCTTGATTTCTGTATGCAAGTAGTTTACATCCAATGTTCAACCTAGAGAGCTTTCCCATTCTGCTGCACAAATAGCCACAGTTTGATGTTTATATCTATATTGCACTGGTGAATTCATGAAAGAAGATGTAGGCATCTACCGTGTAAACCTGCAGCTGACCCAGTGGCCCTCTGTTCCCTGCTCATTTAAATCAGTGGAGTCTGGGATATGGTTTATCTCATCTTAAAAGAGCTGTCGAGTGAATCACACCTGTGATTGTCTTCTCCTCTCCAACTGACTATGAAGAAAGATCACAGAATCACAGAGAATCAAAGAATGGCAAGGGTTGGAAGGTACCTCGGGATATCATCTAATCCAACCACCCTGCTCAAGCAGGCTCACCCAGAGCAGGTTGCACAGGACATCGTCCAGGCGGGGGTTGAATATCTCCAGAGAGGGAGACTCCACAGCCCCCTTGGGCAGCCTATGCCAGGGCTCGGACACCCTCAAAGTAAAGAAATTCTTCCTCACGTTCAAATGAAACCTCTAATGCTTCAGCTTTTGCCCATTGCCCCTTGTCCTGTCATTGAACACCTCTGAGAAGTGTTTGTCTCCATCCTCATGATGTCCACCCTTGAGATATTTGTATGAACATGATGAGCTAATATGTAGAAATTATTGCAGATATCTCGGATGTGATGAGTGAAAGCTGCACAATTAGGAGTTTAGCTTCCCCTCAGAGAGATTTATTTCCACAAATCTAGTGGGGGAGATGAGTAGAATGAGATAGAAATCTACATCTTGTCTTCTGTTTTAAAAAAATGAGCAAATGGAATCATTTCAGAA